ATATATAGAAATATATATAAGAACATATAAGAATATATAATATAGGAATAATATATAAATAATTATTAGTGTAACAGAATTAATTGATACAGCTTGTACATTGAAAAATTGAAAACAACATACACCCCTGTCCAAAGAATGATAGACGCGTATTGAATTACTTAAACAACCCTAATTAATCGAATCAACGAATCACGTATATTTTTTCTAATTAAAAAACGGTTGAAATATGTAAAAATATTTCTCAAAATCGGCCATTTCTCGTATAATTATCGTTATGCATACACATTTCAGTCGACGTCGCCTTCTCTCTGTCCACCCGGAAGCCCACCAGTTGGTCCATTGTCACTGACGACCAGACCCGAGGATCAACAACCTCCACCTTCAACGCCATCCTCGGTGAAACAAGAAGATGCCAGGGTATCCTCTGGTTCAGAAGACGACGAGACAAGACCGACCGGTCCTCTGCCCCCTGGATTTTCTCTGGTTCCCAGTTCAATGTTCGGCCATGGAATAATGTATATGTCACCTTATCTGCCGCCACGTGGACCAGCTGGTTGTTCCACCAGCATGCTGGACGAGAGGAGGAAAAGGAACCGGACGTTCATCGATCCTGTAACGGAAGTGCCGAGACTCGAAGCTTGGTTCACTCACAATACTCATCCTAGTCACGCGGTGAGTTGAACGATGTTCTTTAATTACATCGATGCACGCATTTGTCATTCCTTTGAACTGACACTTCCACTACTGAAGCTGTCCGATTCATGTCCGCTTTGAAGATTTCCAATTTTTCTTTTCACTTTTGCCAGAAATATATAGGTGAATTTAATTTTTGTAAAAAATTTTGGTTTAAGGTTTCTATTTTATTTTAAATTTTAATTTTGGGTTATTTTTAACTTGTAATTTTAATTACGTCGACGCATGCATTTGTCATTCCTCTGAACTGACACTTCCACTACTGGAACTGCAGACATGTCCGCTTTGAAACTTTCCAATTTTTCTTTTCACTTTTGCCAGAAATATATAGGTGAATTTGATTTTTGTAAGAAACTTTGGTTTCAGGTTTTTATTTTATTTTGAATTTTAATTTTGGGTTATTTTTAACGTGTAATTTTAATTACGTCGATGCATGCATTTGTCTTTTCCCTGAACTGTGACTACTGAAGCTGCAGACATGTCTGCTTTGGAGATTTCCAATTTTTCTTTTCACTTTTGCCAGAAATATATAGGTGACTTTGATTTTTCTACGAAACTTTGATTTGAGGTTTTGATTTTATTTTAAATTTTGGTTTTGGGTCATTTTTAATGTGTAATTTTAATTGTTATTGCTTATAGGTGTACGTTGACACTAGAACTACCAGAAGAGTCAAAATTACTTGTTTCGAGTCTTTTATTTTTTAATTACTTAATTACTTATTAATGAATATATACAATAGCTTTTGGTAATATTAATTGTTTGCTTTTTACCAGAATAAAATTGTAATTATATGTTTTTTTATTGTACTATTGTAATTGTTATATTGAGGTATGTATTACAGACTGGTGGTTCTTGTGTTAACCCTCTGCACTCAAAGGCTTCTTCACTATAGGAAGAATAATAGTAGCATTTCCTACTGATGGTGAAGTCGGTGATACATTTTATACTAACGTGAAAGAAAATTTTTGAATAAATTAACAGATGAGACTATTTTGTTCCGATATTTAATGGACCCCGTTATTATGTTATTTTAAATTTAATATTAATTATTAATCTTCATATTTTTGTTAAGTAATGACGGAAAGCTGCCTCTTGAGTATAAAGAATTGAAAGTTGGTAGTTCTAATGTTCATATATAGTTGATTGGAGATCTGGGTTGCCTTTTGCTTGAGAATCAGTTTCTATAATTTATGTGATTAATAATAAAAATTAGTGATAATAAAATGTTCGATTTTATTGTTGTTCATTGTTATGTAATCATGCGAATAATTTTCTGGAACATACTTTGATCATTTGCATACGAAGATAAGCACGTACTTAATGAATACTCGAATTTGAATATTTTTTAACAGCACGTTATTAAAAATTTATAGATATATGACATTTTGCCCTTGATTTTGTTACTTCTATTTTCTATTTCTATCTGTCGCGACGGAAAATGTACTTCATTTATTAATATCGTAATATAAGTGTCATAAATTGCCTTTTCTTTTTAAATTTATAATAATTTTTATTTTCATAAATGAGGATGAAAATAGCACAGGAATTAAAGAACATGAGCTTTTATTTCAACATCGTAGAAGCTGTGAATTGGTATTTCTAATTTTGAAAAAATGAGAAGAATATTTTTTGACTCATCAGATTTAACATTCTTTAAAATTTTGGTGTAAAATGTAAAATACTTCGTTCAGAAAATTTTTGAAAAATATTTCAAACACTTGTATAAAGAAGATATACGTGTAAAAGATATATTATATGATAATAGCAATAACAACAACAACAATAAACAACAATAATAATAGTAACGTCAACTCCCAAAATATAAGATAAGATAATTGACATAAATATCAAAACTCATACAAACGTATAGAAACGACAGAAATAATTCAGAAAACACTATTAAAATATAATAGAATACATAACTTAGCTAATAAACATGGACCTTAAATTATTTAAAGTACACAAAAAATAATACGAACAATAGTATTATTAATAATACTGTAATACTTATATACTTATACTATTTATAATATATTAATAGTATTATTATTAATAATTTATTCACCGAAATTTTTGAAAACTAGAAAAATTACTGCATAGAACCTAATTCGAAAATTATTATTATTATTATTATTATTTTTATTATTGTCAAACCACCTTATTCTATACATATGTATTATTATCACCAATAAATTTCAATTTCAAATACTCCCGCCAATTTCTCAACTTTGTAATTTAATGAAAAAGAAAATTATCCTAAAATTATACAAACTATATAAAAAAATAATATAAATAGTAGTATTATTAATACCGAAATGTGAATAAACGAGAAATAATAAAAGCTATTTATAATAAAATTCTGAAAACTAGAGAAATTACTGCATAAAAGCTAATTAGAAAATTATTTTCTAACCACCTTGTTCTAAACATATATATCACTGTCACCGATAAATTTCAATTTTAAATACTCCCGCCAATTTCTCAACTTCGTAACTCATGTAGAGAAAAAGGAAAATGATCCTAAAAGTATACAAATTACACAAAGATAATATAAATAGTATTATTGTTAATATCGAAATGTAAATAAATAAATAATAAAATATATTAATAATAACAAAATTCTGGAAACTAGAAAATTGACTGCATAAAACCCAATTCGAAAATTATTTTCAAACCACCGTATTCTGTAGATATATATTATCACCAATAAATTGCAATTTCGAATACTCCCGCCAATTTTTCAGCTTCGTAAACGCACGTAGAAAAACCCGAAAAAGAAATCACTTATAATACCTGTTTCATTCCACTGCCCTTTTACTCGACTCGCTGGATAATCTTAAGAAACCTCTTGCTTAATTCGCAGTTGATACTGAAATACACGGAGGATCTGAACCAGATGCCGTATCGACAGAAGTTTCCGCGGCTGGAACCAAAAAACGTGCAATTTTGGTTCAAGAATCGCCGGGCCAAGTGCAAGCGTTTAAAAATGGCCCTGTTCGAGGGCGAATCACCGCAACCGCACCCATATCACGCAGACTAGCTCGCCCCCTATCCCTCATGTAACGTAACGTAGGAACAGCCAAGATGTCGCGAGGCATCATCATCTATGTACCGTAAAACGGATGGAGAGGCACGTTAAGGAGGAGAAACATCGTTAATCAACCTGTTATTCTTTAATATCGTTGACTCGCGACCATATTCGCCGGTCGCCATTTTGTTCTAATTATCGCGTAATAATTAATATAATTACTATGGACCTTAATAAGTGTACATATGAGAATACTGTCGAATAAAAACTATACGTCACGATTCAACAGCATCGTCAATTATCCTTCTTTAATACTGTTCACATCTCTGTCCTCCTTTCTTGTACATACAAGCCCTCTTTGTTTCGATTCCAAAATACAGAAATAATAAAAATTTGTAAGCATATACTACATTTGGGGTATTATTATTCCTATTTGATTATGTGACGTTTTGTTTATTTATTGGTTTGTTGGTATTTTATTGTCTTATTATTTATCAGTATTTATTATTATTAATTATATATTTATTAGTATTAATGATATATATTATACATTATTATATTGTTATATTACTATATATTAGTATTAATGAGATGCAATTAAAAAATAGAATGTACAAAAATTATTTGTGAATTATGTTTCCTTTTCAGTATGATAAATAATAATTTTTGTGTAGAAAATGGAAGATAGGAGATTCAAAAATAATTGTTTAATTTTAAGATTCCTGTCTTGTAAAATTTCTATAATTCCTGTTGTCAATTCAACACTGACTTACTAAACACTAAATACTAATTAGAATCTTCCTTCTTTAATTTGTTAATTAATTAGAATTAATAATAATTAGAATCTTTCTTGAAGGTGATCAAGGACGTACCTGTCACGTGAGTGATAAATTATTTACCACTAAAATATCACAATTTTGTATTATTTTGTATTGTAATGATACAGAAAAAAATATACAAACTATTTTTTACAAATATCAATTTTTATTTGCATTTTACATTTAGTAACATTAAATTTGATTCTAAAATAAAATAAAATCTAGAAATTTTTTTAATTAATAATAAATTTTAAAACATTTCATGTAAACAAATTTCTCATTGAATAAAATTACTTAGTGAGATTTAAAATAATGCAATATTTTGAAATTTGTATATAGCATTGTATAAGACCAAAAGTATTAACTTGTGTTGCATTCATATTTTTATTAATTATTCATTGTAAATTACCGATTATTTAATTCTTCTTAACACTAGAACTACCAACTTGTAATATATAGTGAAATATAGTACTCGTAGATAATATTAATTTTTCAAAAACTGTAGAAGCGAGAAATCGGCACCTAATGTTAAAGAGAACTTGTGGTAGTACCCTATTTCGCCACCAGAGGGATGCGTAGTACACGTTTCTCGAATCTCTCTAACCACGTCTCTTTTATATAAATAATATTTTTAATCCATAACCATTACATCAATATTTGACATACTTTGCTATCTCAAATTCTTCATTTCTTTCCCCCAACTATGTTTTAAGTACTAATTTCTAAACACTAATCCAATATCTGGTCAAGTCATTGTACACAAGTATTCCACTTTCTAGGTTATGTTCGTACTAAGAAAAGATATCAAATATATCATTAATAAGTGCAATACGCGTTCCATTTCTCCTCACAAGATATTTACAACGTCCCAAACTACGAAGAAATTAAAAAATCAGTAACTAATAATAATTTCATTACGATATATTGCAATACGAAAATGAAAAGTTTCAATGAGGTTATATTCTAACCTCAACCGAATATTTCTTGGTATTAGAGAATATCTTCTAACCTGAACGAAATATTTGTCTCGTGCTCATGAATAGTATTTGAAACTAAACGATTAGGGAGTAGAATGTTCATCATGGTTGAGGCAAGTCTGATCAGAGGATACGGGAGTTTCGACTCCGTTTAAGTCGACAATGCCTGAGGAAGATGCCGAAAGGAAGAAAGGTGCTTTCGTCATCTATGGGATACTCGCATAGGACGTCGACAGGGAGATCGTACCGAAGTCAGGACGGATTTAATGAGGATAGGCGGATTTGTCCAATTAAAATGTCTTGTAAAGATCCGCGTAGGTCGATGCTCGTTCACTGGCAAAACATCGAAATTCGACCTCGCCGCAACAGCCTCTTCTTATCCGAGACTATACAGGTACGAACTGTTATCCCTTTCGTTATCGTTATTGAGATTCGCTTCTCGAGTCAAGCAAAGTCGAGACATCGTTAAGAGGGTGGCGAGGATCTAGGGACGTTCTTCTGAAAATTGGGGGGCTCTGCTGATGTCAGACGAATCGCATGGGTATCGAAAAAGAGCAAGACTACTTGAAAATTTATTTGTTTTTTTTTCTTTAATCCAAGATTTCTATAGAATATTTATCAAATATTTTTTTGCAATAATTAATTTATTCTTGGCGAAATTTATTTATTGTATAATTCCTACAGCCAGTGGGTTATTTCGAGTATATTTTTTTTTCAAATTTTCTAAAATTTTTTAATCAGGAATCTTTATTAATGATTAATTTTTTATGTTTAAAATAAATGTGTTTTTCGTTTCTTTTTCGGCTTAATTTAATATATGAGCGATTCTTTTGTTATATTTATGATTTTGTTTGATCCAAGATTTCGATAGATTATTTATTGAATATTTTATTGCGATAATTAATTAATTTGTGGCGAAATTTGTTAATTATACGATTTCTGTAGCCAGTGGGTTATTTCGAGCATATTCTATTTTCGAATATTACGAAATTTTTGAGTCAAGTTTCTTAATTAATGATTCATTTTTTGAGTTTAAAATAAATTTGTTTCTTTTTCAAGTTAATTTGATATTTGAGCGATTATTTTGTTATATATATGATTTTCTTTTTGGTCCGAGATTTTTATAAATTATTTATTGAATTTTTTTGTCCGTATCATGAATTATTCGAAATTTTTATTTTATTCCCGATTTACTATGACCTCGAAAGTCATCATATAGGACATGAATGAACTCGTCTTGAGACATGCTTTCATATAATATAAAAATATATATATAGCATTCTGTTTTAAAAATTGAAAGTCACCTTAAATATTAACATAAATACGCGAAATTGATAAGTACTGTCCTATGGGTAATGAAAAAGTATAAAACTTTCTCCTTCATCATTTTATTCTAATTACAGTAATTTTCGAAAAAATCTCTGACAAGTAATAACGTGAACACCGTGTATAATAACTTGATAAGTTTTATTTTATAATCTAATTTTATAATATAATATATCATATTATATTCTCATTCTCTGCTATTACATTAAATTATATTAAATCGTTATATTAATCCTTACGCCCACAATATCGTATCAAACTCGTGGTAAAGACATCGGGCCAAACACAAGCGTAACGTGTGAGAGACGTGGTATGTAGATATGGACCAACGTAAACAGCACGTGTCAGACTCGTGGTCAATTTTCGTCGATATCTTCCTGCCTCGGTTACATGTTATCCTCGAAACAGCTCGACGTGTGACCACTCTGTTGTCGATCATGGCACGCGCCATCGAAACTTGACACGTTCACTACCATGGTGGTCACCAATGCCCAACTATACTAATCTTTCCAATTTATATTTATTTTATTTTAACCATTTTTTGAAAATTTGAACAACGTAAATAAATAGAGAACTGTGAATAGAAAACAATACTAATTCGCACCACTTTTTTTCTCTTTTTTTGCCATACTGTTGGAAATTTTATCGTGGTCCCCTGAATGTACTATATAAAAGCTGTGTGACAGTCAAAGTGTTAAATCATAGGACAAAAAATTAAAAGGACTAGCGAACAAAAATTTGTTCACAATTTATTAAGAGATACAGAAATCTATCGGGTGTCCCAAAATTCACTCAAGAAGCAATTTTGACAGAAAACACAGGTTTTTAATTAAGAATTGGAAATATTGCTGAATAATGAAGACACATTGTTCTTTCCATGTTTAATAACCTTGAACTGTCAACTGTCAATCTACCTTTTTTCTTCGTTAGCAACACTTTATCGCACAAATGGCGCAAAATTCAAATCTTGCATGAATTTTAGAACACCCATTATATTATAAATATATATTTGTGGAGTAAACTGTTGTTAACGAAAAGAAAGGTAGATTGACAGTTGACAGTTGACAGTTCAGGGTTAATATATCAGGGCCATATTTCCAATTCTTAATTAAAAATCTGTATTTTCTGTCAAAATTGTTTTTTGAATATAATTATTATTTTTCTTAAATCATTTAGTTAAAATTCGTTAAAAAACAAGAATAGTAACAAATTTTTGCAAATGATTTAATTACGTAATTTAACTCTTGATCCTCATTTTCTCAATTTCTCAGTTCTATTTTAATTACTTAAAATTAAATCTTTTAATCTTCTGATCGGACGTTAATTAGTCAAATTAATTAATTTGCCAAAAATTGCAACGAAAGAGCAATTGTTAATGTTAACGTTGGAAATACTTAGCAGACGATATATTCGATGAAGGAAGCAACAAGATGAAGGATTCGGGGACAGAAAGAGAGAGAAATATTAGCCTGTTCAGACGGATAAGAAAATTGAGGTCGAAGAGTACGGTGAGAAGAGGGGGAAGCGTAAGGAGCTGGTAGGGTGGCAGGCCGATGCCTTATGAAAATCTAAAAGTCAGCAGCCCCGAGGATCATCTCTCTATCTGATCTTAATTTGTCAGCCGGCACAATTTAAACCACACCCTCGCTAGTAAATCGTTATAAGAAACGTCAGCTTCCCTGAGAACCTGCCTCCTCTCCTTCGATTTTTAATCTTTAATTGTCATTAGCAGCACAGTTCGACAGAAACGACTCCTGTAATAAGCCCAGACTAAAATCTGAATTTTATCACATTATAACAATATATTTTTATTATAATATATTTACAATTTTTGGTAAATTTTTAGTATAATATATTTATAAGTTTTCATACATTTTTATTATAATAC